AAAGTTTTCAAAAAGAAGTTTAGTATTTTAATGCTTCGTTAGTAATTTTCCTTAAATATGTAAACGCTTGCACACCTATGTAAGTACTAAATTATATTTTTTTAAAGTCCTAAATATTAGAATTTTTTACATTGTTTATATAAGGAAATAATTAATAACAATAATTTTAGTTGATTTTAGATTCCTAAATTTTAAAAAAAATAATAAAATGACTATTTTGTCTTAGTGTGAGCTCTATTTTTAAAGGGTAAAAAAGGCGAACGAGATTTCACTAAGGGCCTTCGTACTTTTAATATAGTATAGATAGTGACAAAAATGATGTACATGTCTATACTTTTTTCTAATAAGTAAAGAGTTAATTTTTTTTTGAAGTACCAACAAAAAGAGAAGGCTTAATACTTACCCAGAATACAACCTATTAAATACTTATTTAAATAAGTTACAATTAATTTTAAAAAATTACATATCATACAACTTATTTTAAAACATACAACTATTTATATTCCTAATATCTCTCTCTTGAGATTCTCTCACCCAACTACATATATGCTCCTTTTTCTTTTTCAAAATTTTTCATGTTCTCTCTCTTCTAGTTGTGTATATGATTATAGTATATTTGATATACCATTACTATATGTAAAAACCTATATAGCATATTTCAAATAAATATAATATATTAATATACTCAAATACACAAATATTATACCAGTATGCTAATATCTTATTAATCAATGATATATAATTATTATATATTCAGTATCGATGAATATATATTTCATATATTTTTAACATATATGCAGTATACTATACACATATACTTAATTTTTAAACTTCCCTAGTAAGTCTATATAATTAATATATTTTACATATATACAGTATACTATATACATGTGCTGCTCAAGTAGATCAATTGGTATATTAACTATTATTTATTAGAGTACATAAAAAAGTGGAGTAAGTAAGTTTTTGGTCTTTAGCAGTTTATTAATATTTTGTATGACCCAAATGCAATTTTTTTCTTTTACCCTACAAAAAAGTATGTTGAAAATACCTCATGTGCATGCCTGCAAACGCCCTTTACGAGGAATAATTAGCCAATAAAAAACGTCGATTACACTTGAAATATGTCATTTTCACTCTTATTTCGTACAATTTTCATACTTCTTAGATTCACCTTGCCTAAAATATTTTGTAGGTCTATCAGAAACGACCTAATAAACATTTATCATTGTCTCGTCATAATTGTTCCTCGTTTTTGTTGTTTTAGGGTTATAAAACAGAAATTGAGCACGATTTTTCATTTTCCGTGTGCTAAAAATCATTCCGATTTAATGTCTAAGTTATCTTCATGAATTCGAGGGATCGGCCTCGAATCGTCTAAAATTTTATGGGCCGATCAGAAATGACCTAATGAATAGTAGTCATTGCCTCGCCATGATTGTTCCTCCTTTTTGGTATTTTAGGGTTATAAAATAGGAATTCGACACGATTTTCGATTTTTCATGTGCTTATGTCCACGCCATCTTCATGAACTTGGGCGATTGGCCCCGAATCGTCTAAAATTTTGTGGACCCATCATACACGACCTAATGAATAGTAGTCATTGCCTTGCCATGACCATTCCTCATTTTTTGGCATTTAGGGCTATAAAACAGGAATTCAACATGATTTTCGATTTTTCGTGTGCTTATGTCCACGTCATCTTTATGAATTCGGGCGATATACCCCGAATCGCCTAAAATTTTGTGAGTCCGTCAGTAACGACCTAATGAGAAGTAGTCATTACCTTGCTATGATCGCCCTTCATTTTTTTTTTTTGGCGTTTTAAGGCCATAAAACAAGCCCTTTTGACCCAAAAGACAACCCAAAAAATTTAAAAAATCTTACCAAAAATAGCCCGATTATGTCTTGCATTTTGCTAATTTGTTATATGTCCAATTGTTGCAGTAAAGTTTAGTTTTTAGTATAACATTTATTTGATTGTAAAACAACTATTATTATTGTATAAATTCATAAATATCTATAATAAGTATTTAATTGTTAACACAATTATTATTGTATATTAATCATCAAAGAAATTCATAAACTTTAAATCTGGAATCCACCTCTTGCAATCATTTGTAATGGTATGATGCTTATTTCAAGAGAAAAACAAATAATTTAGTACAATAAACATAGACTGAATTCCACTTTAACCCCTTGGCTGGAGCAAATAGCACGGTATAGCCAGTTTTCGGATTGGTCATTCAAAAATAGCCAGCGTTTACCAAGTCAATGAAAAATAGCCACTATTTTGCTGCAACAGAGACCGGTCCAGCATAATATACTGGAGTTCGGTGCACCTGTGTATGAACTCCAACATATTATGCTGGACGGTATACTTTGCTGGCTCCAGTATAATATACTGGAGACTGGAGCACCGGTGCTCCAAACTCAAGTATATTATGCTGGACCGGTATACTTGCTGGAACTCCAGTATATTATGCTAGAGTTCTAGTGTACTTATGCTGGAACTTTATTATATTATGCTGGAGTTCCAGCATACTTATCTTGGAACTCCAGTATAATATGTTGGAGTTCAAGTATACTTATGCTGGAACTCCAGCATAATATACTGGTGTATTTTCTGGATTTTGAACAGTGTTTTCGCTCAGATTTATCTTTACATGAAAAGTGGCTAAATTTCGATTACCTTTGAAATTGGGCTATTTTTGAACGACCAGTTGTAAATCTGGCTATTTTTGAATTTCACCCCCTTGGATGTGATTAAACAAGTTTTATGAATTTGGTACACAAGTAATTTTATTTAGCTCGCGGTCGAAATTATTTATATTCAATAACCGTAAAAATATATAAAACTTATATATTTTTTTATATATAACATACAGAAATATTTTGAGAACGACTATATAGTTTCATTCAAACCCACTTTGAGTTGTGGGAGTAACGTTGGCAAAATAGTTAAAGAAAACAGTTAACCACCCATATTATCCACTAAAAAATAGGTTGGATAATGAACTTTTTAAAAACGGGTCAAATATGGATAAGAACCATATTATCCATTTAGAAAATGGATAATCAATGAGTTTAACTTTTATATTTTTAAAGCCTCAAATTGGGGGTTACTTAAGTTTGGGAGACTAGAAATTCTCTCAAGTGATCAATCATATTCAAGAAGTCATGGATAATATGGTTACCCATATTATCCGCCGGTTAGCCCATTTTTTATCTGTATTAAATGTGAGTCGGATCAGATAAATTATCTATTTTTTCATTACTGATTTTTCGACCCGAACTATATCCAGCCCGACCCGCCCGTTTGCCGCTACTAAGTGGGAGGTCCAAGAGGCAATTGTGATGAAAAGCCCAAGCAAACAATTGGGAAGGAGAGGATTTTGTGGTGGCAGTTAATCCGTTAATATCTGTCATTCTCTTCCCTCCAAACCAAGGTGTCTCTTCTTCCATGGCTTTAGCTTCAGTCACGATGAATCTTCCCTTCATTTCAACTCATAATAATTATCACAATCTTTCTTCAAACCCAACTTTCTCTCCTCTCTGTACTAATAATAACAATCCCTCTTCTAATTTCTCACCATCATCTTCATCTTCTTTGAATTACATCCATTTTTCATCTTCAGCTGTTTATTCAAAGCAACTAACCAATTCCCAATATGTCCATAAACCCACCCAATTTAGCAAAAACCACAAAATCAAGGTTAGTAGCACGTCTTAATCGTAAATTTTCACATACATTTCTCAAGGGTCTTTAGGGTGAAATTTAACAAAATTTGGTTTATTTTACCATAGTTTTTTTTTTTTTTTTTTTTTTTTTTTTTTTTTTTTTTTTTTTTGTGTGTGTGTGTGTGTGAGGGTGTTCTCAATGGAACTACTTGTTTTCCATTTTATAACTAGTTCAAACAAAAAATAATATTTGTGGAAGTAGTGTGTGTGAAAGTTGATCTTTTTGGTCTATTTTAAAAAAAATGAATTCTTTATTTTTTTTTTCCCAGGTGATATGCGCTAGAAGTGAGCCCCTAAAGGTGATGATATCAGGTGCCCCTGCATCTGGTAAAGGGACTCAATGTGAATTGATTGTACAAAAGGTTCTTTCATTCTTGATCCCTCTTGTATTTTTACTGCTTCAGGATTGAGACATAGTTGATTGAACGATTAATTTTTAATGTTAAATATTGCTGTCGTTGCCCGTTGATGGATATACTAAAGCAATTATGTTGTCCAATTTTTCCACTTATGCAAATCATTTTATGCATTCCATAACGTGCAAGTGTCTGTTATTTGTTTTTCTTGACTACCAAAGGATATAGTGGGATTGACGAGATCCTTCTGCCCTTAACCAGAGGTCTCGGGAGAAATCCCTTTTAGGGAGCCTTTTCCCCTTCATCAGCCTTATGCGGCATGAATTTGGATTAATCAGGCCATTGAGTTCCGGATACCAGATGGTTAAACCAAAAAAGTTTGTCTTTCGTGGTCTGCATATGCATGTTGAACTAAACAAAATTTGTGAATGGGAATGTTTGTTAATGTAAAACCTCCCCTTGAATAATATTTATCATGGTCTCTTTCAGTTTGGATTGGTGCACATATCAACTGGTGATCTTCTACGAGCTGAATTATCAGCTGGTACAGATATTGGAAATAAAGCCAAGGAGTATATGAACTCTGGTCGCCTGGTTCCTGATGAGATTGTGACAGCTGTATGATATCTTTTCAATTAGTGTCTTGTTAATGAATAACTTTTGCTTTTATGATTTTCAATATCAGCTTCTTCTTACAGATGGTGACAGCGCGATTATCAAGAGAAGATGCAAAAGAAAAAGGGTGGCTTCTGGATGGTTATCCGCGAACTTTGGCCCAAGCAGAAACTCTAGAAAGATTGAATATCAGACCAGATATCTATATTGTGCTTGATGTATGTCCGTCATACCATTACATAAGCTGCATTTCCTTTCCGTCTTAATAAGATGATCTTTTGAACATTTACTAAAGATAAGTCAGATGTTTTACTGTTTCAAATTTTGATGCTGTGTGCGGTATGACCTTGCAATGCTGGACAACTCCATAGGGGCAGTAGTTTTGTTTCGGAGTCATGTTTTATTCTTGCTCATGTATCCTCAAGAGTTTCTAGTCTATTTACTGGGGTAGTAGGGGTAGTAGTTTTTACCATTCATAAGCCAAACACTACTGACCAGAGGATGCATGCGCGAATAAATGTGGCCATCCTATGCATTCTCTGTTTATACCTAATAGGTATATTAAAGCAAGAGTGAGTGGAAGAAGTAATATTTGAATAGAATCTCCAATTATTAAAGAAATCCATACAAGTGCGTTGTGGTAATTCAGGTAGATTTTAGCCCACTTCATCTTCCATTTGCTTTATATCCGATATTTTACGTAAAAATACTTTTTCTTCGACAGGTTCCTGATGAGATTCTTATTGACAGATGTGTTGGTCGAAGGCTAGATCCTCTCACAGGAAAAATATACCATGTTACTAATTTCCCTCCAGAGACCGAGGAGATCAAAGCGAGGCTAATAACTCGTCCTGATGACACAGAAGAAAAGGTACTCTCAACCCGTATTGTGTGTCTTGCTTTAGTTTACTAGATGAATACATGCTATTAGGATGTGTTTATGAACTTTTTGTTCACTGAATTTCCACTAGAGGATTGTGGTTTATCGATAGTCTAGAGTCTAGACCATAATATAAACTAACCTTATGTCCATCTTGGAGATCTCTAGAAAAAGTTAAGCATCAAATATATCCAAAACTCTACAGTTTACAGTTGTTCAAAATGCGTTTCAGGTGAAATCACGTCTGCAAATATACAAGCAAAACGCTGAAGCAATATTACCAGTGTACTTAAATATAATGAATAAGGTACATTTGACATATACTCCTCATATAATTTTCAAATTGTGTACCTTTTTCTAATGATTTTTATATATGAGCTGTGACATAAGGTTGATGGGAACCGCGGCAAAGATGCAGTCTTTGAAGAAATTGATTCCTTGTTGTCACGTGTGCAGAAAGAGGAAGAAGATGCAAATAAATTAGGTCTGAAAAAGACTAGAAATTTCTCTGTACTAATATCTCTCTTTAGGTTCTTAATATTCTCTAGGGAGCTATATATTAACAAAATTCTATCATTTACTGCTTACATCGGCCACATATAATCCTTTAAGAGATGTAAAGCATACATAACACACGATTAACCATATTTCTTAGTTATCCGTGTCTCAGCTTTTCTTTCTTTTTCGAGTCTTCTGATCGGCCTATTTGCATCCGCCACCATGATTAATCTATATCTCTTTTATTTTTACTCATACATACAGTTATGTTGCAAAAAGAAAAAGATGTGCCATTCAACAATCGAAAAGATTTTTTGCAGGATAGGTTTTTGCATTTTCTTGTTAGCTGCTGTACAGACCAACCGAATTAGCAGTCGTCATTTGGACTCGCTGAAACTTTACTCTAATTTTTGTTTACAGAAAAATCAGAAATTACCAGTACTCAAGTTGATATGGCATCTTCGGGCAAGGTATTCAGCTGCTACCGTAAATTGTGGATGTAAATTACCATTTGCTTTTGATTTATTTAAGGAGAGTTACACAAAAAGAAACACGATATATATTTAGCTCTGACACCTTATTTTGCTTATATCTTTATAGGACTGGAGAGGAATACCAACTAGACTAAATAATATTCCTCACTCAAGAGAAATCAGGGAATATTTCTACACTGATGTGCTTCAGGCTACTCAAAGAGCTGTCAATGATGGGAAAACTCGATTAAAGGTACGCTCTCCTCTGATTCAAAAATAATTCAGATAAGGTTGATATCAGAGTAGTTTGAGTCGATATAGCTGTTTTATAATCTTGATTGGTTATCGTTTTAATTAAGACATCACCTTTGTCACCATTTTGATTGAGAAGTCCACCTTTTTGTGGTTGAAGTAGATACGCCATATTATATTCTGTTTAGTTTCTTGGAAAGGAAGAAAGGAATTACATGGTTTGAGCTTTGAAGAACAAATTTAGAACCTTTACAAGGAATCCGGGCTTTTTTCAGTCTAAGTTAGATTAAATCCAAGTTAGACTAATACCTTTATCTTGAACTGACAGATAGAAATCAGTATCCCAGAGCTGAATCCTGCAACGGTGAGAAAACATTCTTTTATCATATGGCAATAGTTTATTTAGGTTTGACAGTATTGTAAATGCACAGGATGTTTATCGAATAGGTACGCTAATGGAACTTATCCGGGTACTTGCTCTTTCATTTGCTGACGATGGAAAGCGTGTCAAGGTATGTCTCTGATGTTTATTCTTTCCGTTCCTTATATATTTAATCTATTGTCTTTGAAATAAGGCAAATTATACATATTCATTTCTACAGATCTCATTCGTAGGTTTGTGTCCAAGGATCTATGGGGGAAGGTGCACTTGCAGGGATGCCGTTGCAACTTGCAGGAAGTCGAAAGATATTAGAGTACATGGATTGGGGTGATTATGGTGCTCTCGGTACCTTTGTCAATATTGGTTCTATAGGTATGGTTCAGATAAAAAGTGCATATGTGATGACTCACACTTCTTATCCAATATCGTGTTTCTAGAATTCGTTCGAACCCTGTATTTTTGACACGAAGTATAGATATATGTGAAAATCAAGTAAATTTTAACAAACACTAGATTTGAACCCGTAAATTTGAAAGTACAATGAGTATTGTGCTAACAACTTTAAAGATCGAACTAATCAAGTTTTAATCCTTCTGTTCGCTTCATCATGAGCGATATATTTCAGAATGTTGTCCTAGTATTACTGATTGTAGAAACTCATAATTATATAAATGGTTCTGTAATGTGATGACTATTTTTATTTGTTGTGTAAGTCTACACATGCTAAGATTAATGCTTAACTGTCAGAGGTTAACTTTGCGATTAAACACGATACAATCACACTTGATATTGGTTCTTTCATTATTAATATTTGGTTAACTCCATATTTACGACCAAATGTTATGTGTTTTTCAGGTGGCAAGGAGGTTGAAAAACAAGATGACTTGTTTATTCTAGTGGCTCCACAGAATGCTGTTGGAAATTGCATTATAGATGTGATTCATTGTTGACCATTTGCTGTATTTTCCTCATATTACTCTTTATTCAGTTTATTATATTCCTTTTCTGCCGCTGAATAATGCAGGATATGAGAGCTATGACTGATGCTGCGGGTAGTCGACCAGTTATTCTTGTCAACCCCAAACTAAAGGTTAGGATCTTAGTTTCTCTCTTATGATTGTGACTTCATTTTAATTAAAAGATAACGCATGGCTTACCATTTTTCCAAATACAGTAGCAAAAGTTTCTTGAACAGTAAATTACTCTCATGTCCCTTCCAACTCAAATTATCTAAGTATTAGCCATGGATTCAAATTACTATTTATAATGTTTTTGATCTTTCTTAGCAAACATTAGTCAGTCGAGGCACAAGAAAACCCCGTTAAATAAGTTTTGCTTGCTCTTCCACTGTTCATAGCGTAGACTCCACTTTTCCTTCCTGAGAATTAGTATCAGAATCATACTGAAAATTAGTAATCTTTGTTTCGATTCCTCGGTGATGAAATGATTACAAATGGCCTGACGCTAATATATCACATACTACTTTTGCAGGATTTACCTGGCTCAAGCGGTATCATGCAAGTAAGTAGTAACCATTGAGACGTAATGGTGAACATTATAGGAAATTTCATCCTACTTTCTGATTTTTTCTCTTTATCTGCAAGACAATGGGTAGAGATAAGAGATTGGAGTATGCTGCGTCATTTGAAATATGCTACCACTTCCGACTACTCTACTATGCAGGAACACAATATCCTATTATGGGTGCACTCAGGTTAGATATTTTTCTATGCCATTACATGATCAAGAAGCAGAAGGGAAATCTAAAATGGCACAAAATGTTTGTTTTGGTTTAGTGTAAAATGCAGATTGTATATAAGTCTGCATTTTTTGAATTCTTAGCTCTTGAAAGTAAAGATGTATCTTATCTTTTTCACTGACTGTCCGGTGGACAGATTGCCAATATAAGTATATAGCAAATTGTTGTTCAAACATTCTTCTTCTCTAATACGGACTTTTGATTATCGTTTTTCTGCTACATCTACCCACAGTCTGGTATTTTGTACTATTAACGGATAGATTCTTGTTTTAATGGCCTCTGCAAAAAAGAATGGTTGAATATCGATGGTCAAGATTCACAGTCTTATTAATTTTCTCATGTCAGGATGTCATATCCATACCCTTATGAGTTATATAAGAGAGTAGATGAATCGCCTGGGAAGGAAAAATACGTTGCTTTGGCAACATTTGCAAGCAGGCCAAGCATTGATGAAATGAACGATGCATTTGAAGGAAAATCAAGGTTTGCCACAAATCATGAACCTGAACTGAACTCATTATAAACTCCTAAACTTTTTAAGTCTGTTCGTTACCTCTATATCCCTGCATTAACACGATACTTAACGATTACTCTTTGCAGAAATCAAGAGAAAAAAGCAAAGGGATTTTGGTAAGTGATCCTCTGGTTTATCAAAGGTGTCTCTGTGTGACCTATAGGTCAGGTGTTCGAGCCGTGGAGATAACCACTAATGGTTGCATTAGGGTAGTCTCTTTACGTCACACCCCGAGGGTGCGGCCCTTCTTTGGACCCTGCGTGAATGCGAGATGCTTTGTGCATCGGGCCGCCATTTGGACTTTAAGTTGGTCATATAAATTGATAGATGTATTTTGACATTCTTTTAGGGGCTTCTTGAGTGGCATACTTTAAGTGTTGATGGAGAATGCATGAACATCAATCACAAAGGATGCAACATTTACATCTGAACATCCAAAATTGATGGTAAATCAATCATTTCTTGGTTTTTGGATCCTTTGGAATGCAAGTTAAATCAAGTCAAGATCTTAGTCTCCTGGCACATATCATCCTAAAGCGTATATTTCCTATCTTATGATTTGGTAGAAAACAATATCTGTATATATTCATGGCTTTTCACTATTGTATTTCCAGTGCTTTGCTTGAGCGAAGGGTCTATTGGAAACAACCTCTCTACCTTGCGAGTAGGGGTAAGACTGCGGACTTACTACTCTTCCTAGGCGCCACTTGTGGGATTACATTGGGTTGTTATTGTTGTTGTGGTGGTCGTCTTTCTGTCTGTATATATTTCCTTTCTTTTAGTTAAAGAGAGAACAACTATGTGACTCTCATGGTTGTACCTGTTTTTCTCTGTTGTATGTTGAAGCGTCTTTAGTCTTTTCAAGTTAAGAATATTTTAGACTCATCAAATTTGAATCCTAGATTCGCCACTGGATGCTGCGTAATATAACTATGAGTTTTCCTAAAGAAGTGGAAGAGACTGTGAAATTTGAACATGCTTTAATTTGACTTTTGATAGTTTCTTTTTAATTGGAAAATGCGAGTAAACTATGTAGGCATTTATGAGATGAGATTAATAAATCTTAAAGGAATTAAGTTATACACGTGGATAATGTAACGATTTTTCTATGCTAACAGTGTAATATATATATATATATACACACAGTTAGGTGACTTACAAAGTAATTGTAGGTAACGTACTCCCCTATTAAAAAAGATTTAAGTTATATGCATTGACAATATAATGAATTTTTTACATTATTATTAGTGTAATTTAATTTGTTATAACATATTACTTACAATTTATTATACTAGTCAACACTATTAAATAGGGTTACCTGCAATTATTTTTTAAGTGATTTGATAGTGTATATAGAAAGGGACAGCCCGGTGTACAAAATATCCCGCATTTACGTAGGGTCCGGGGAAGGGCCGTACACGAAGGGGGTACAATGTATACCGTCTATCCTAATGCAAGTGGCTATTTCCGCAGTTCGAACTCGTGGCCTATAAGTCACGCGGAAATAACTTTACCGTTGCTCCAACGCTACCCTAGATCAAAGGCGCCCAACGAATTTTGTGGCCTAAAGCAAAACTTTATGAGGAGCCTTAACTTTTTGATTTTTTTAATTATTTATTTGAAGTCTATTATTTTAATTAGCTTTTCTTAGATACCAAGTTATTAATAATTTTCTTATAATCAATAACCCCTAATAAGTATTTCTCAATTGACAATATAACTAATTCATTTAACCTTTCTTGTGACATTGTTGTTCTTAGATAAGATTTTATCAATTTTAGTTTTGAAAACTTCTTTCCGCTGAAGCAACGATAACATGAGTTATGAACATTATTCCATAAGCAATTTGGGCATTTGGAAAAGAATTATATCTTTTTATTTGATTAAGTGTATCAATTAAACTGTTATCTTCTAATCGTATTAGTTTTCTTAATACTTTTAATTCAGAAAGTAAATCTAAATCATCAATATCGAATTGATTATTATACTTTACGGAACATTCAAGATTAAGGTAATATTTTTTCAAATTTCCAATATCTAGTGATCTTAGTTTTTACTGCCAAATAGAAAACCAAAAATATTTTCATTTGCTTCGAATTGTTCAAATCTAGTTTGAAGTGAAAAAATAGCCTTGTCTATTATGTATAAAAATAATCAACTCTAGAGGACTATTCGAAAGACTTTGAGATTTCACTATCAACATTCGTATCAAATTGTTACTTCCTATATATCTCACATTTCTTACGAAATTCGGGTTCGATATTCATTTCAAGTCCAATTTCCTTGGTAGAATCATAGCATTTGTAAATCCTTCTTCTCTATATTTGTTAAAAAAAGAAATCAAACTTTTTCACTTTACAATACTCTTTTTTAAACTTATACATAATCTATTAGGTGTAACAAAAAAGCGGCCCCCCACAAATATGGGGCCTAAAACGGTTGCTTTACTTGCTTTATGGAAAGGTCGCCCATGCCCTAGATATAGGTCCAACTCGAACCCTATATATATATATATCCAAATATAATAAAACAAAGAAAATAATAGTGTAATCTCAGTGACAATCACAAATTATAAGGAATTGGGGTTTAGGACAACAACAACAACAACCCAGTGTAATCCCACAAGTGGGGTCTGGGGAGGGTAATATGTACGCAGACCTTACCTCTACCTCGAGGGGCAGAGAGGCTGTATCCAAAGGTTTACTCCTTAGGACACGCATCAATATTCCTTAATGGTTTACTCCTACTCCTAAAAGGTTTCCAAAGTTAAACCCATACACATTAGGATTTAGGATACGTATAGAGTTAATCCGATTTCTATAGGATAACAACTTATATTAAAAATCTATATAAACCCTTCTTCTTCCTTCTATAATCTCATTAACAATTTAACCTACATTAAAAAATGCCAACATCCACGCACAGTACTTATTTTTTCCTGCTTATGTTCTGCATTTTGGTTAATTTGATATTTTTATACAATGTTATAAAATACTTGTTTTTTTATGGAGTAACACGACGACAACGTTCGAACCATGTAGAGGAATTTGCAGCAGCAGTGACAACAGGATTAAGAACACAACCAAATTCAAATAGGGTGACAAAATCAGCTATTATTGAAGTGGTGATAGATGTTATAGAAGAAGGAATAAAAACTCCAGCAATTAAAGGAAAAAACACTGACTGCTCTATTTGTATAGCAGAAACTAAATATAGGGAGATTTCTTTAATCCTTCCTATTTGTGGCCATAAGTTTCATAAAGCTTGTATTGAACCTTGGTTAAAAGAAAAAAAGACATGTCCCTTGTGTCGAACTCGTGTTCGCGACGGCCGCATTATTGAAGAAACAATCAAGACTTACAGTCCAGTGATATCGGTTGAAACTTTCACACAATAGGCTTTTATTTTTATATATATATATATATATTTTAGCAGGGGTAGAGGGCGACCTAAGAAGTATTGGAGAGAGAGGTGATCAGACAAGACATGGTGAGACTCCAGCTTACCGAGGACATGGTCCTAGACAGAAAGTTGTGGAAATCGAGCATTAAGTTTGTAGGTTAGGAGATAGTTGAGAATATCTCTATGGCGTCGCAGAGTGAGGCTAGTCTGTTAGGACTTGATCTTTGACTGTTAGTGTTTTATGTTGAGTTCACACTACTTTTTCGTTCCTCTTTGATGTGTTTTATCTACTGGTTATTGTTTTGCTTTCCACTTATTTTCTGCTTCTGGTGATGCTGTTATTTGTTCTTTGGTTTCTATTGTTCTTATTTTTCATATATATATATATATATATTTCTTTCATATTATTTCTGTGGTGTTACTAATATTGTCTTTTTTTGTTTTCTTGAGCTGAGGGTATTTCGGAAACAGCCTCTCTACCCCGCGGGGTAGGGGTAAGGTCTGCGTACACACTACCCTCCCCAGACCCCACTAGTAGGATTTTACTGGATCGTTGTTGTTGTTGTATTTTTTAGCAGGGTTTATTATTCTATTTTTCCAATCTAAGTAGTAGAACTTACCTTTCGTTTTTCTGTATTTGAGAAAAAAGTTATATATCTGATAATGAGAAGTCATAATATGTTTATCGAGTGTACGTGTATTTCAATTCTTCTCTCTTTCTTTTGCATGCATGTAAACTTAATATTGATGGTGCCTAATTATTACTAGGATTTACATTATACACGCCAACAGTATAAAGATATTTTACACCTATCACTAGTGCTCGTTCAACTTAGGTTAATTAACATTCTTATCTGGTTACCCTTTATACTAGCTAATTATCATAAAACCGATTTATATGTAATTAATTATCTTATAAGTGATTTACTAAAGATGGTAGCTAGGGGTGTACCGCGAGCAGCAAATTGATAATTCGAGTCAAACCGAGAAAAAAACCCGATTATGGTTCAATTTAATTTGTGGCACTGCATTCATCTATACGTACGTACTTAAAAGAACACGGGGAGAAGCATATCCTCCAAAAAAAAATTTTGATTTTCCACCCGGTACGTGGTGCTCGTATTGAGGCCTGATTATATTCGAATTCGTGTAGGAAAATCCAATATTGGGAGGGGGGGGGGGGAGAAGGGGGG